ATGCATTGATCCGATGGACACAGCTGGAGAATCTGATACGCAGAGCCTGGGCAGCCATTGGACAAAGCAAGCTTCCCCCATGCCCTTCCCTGGAGGGACCTTCCTCTAGAGAGGAGATGGATCTCCATTGCCCATGCAGTCCTTAGACCAGGGGCGGGCAAACTTTTTGGCCCGAGGGCCACGTCGGGTTTCAGAAATTATATGGAGGGCCAGTTAGGGGAGCCTGTGCCTCCCCAAACAGTCAGGCATGGCCCGGCCCTGCGCCCTATCTGACCCCCCCTGCTTTTCGCCCCCTGACAGCCCTCCCCGGACTTCTTCCTCATCCAACCCCTGCCCCATCCACCCCACCCTCCTCCTCCCCCATCCAACTCCCCCCTCTCCTTTCTGACTGCCCCACCGGGACTCCTACCCCCATTCAACCCGTTCCCTGCCCTCTGACTGCCCCGACCTCTATCCACGCCCCTGACCACCACCCCGAACTCCCCTGCCCTCTATCCAACCCCCCCTGCTCCCTGCCCCCTTACCGCGCAGCCTGGAGCACCGGTGACTGGAGCCAGCCACGCCACCGCGCAGCACAGAGCACCGGGTCAAGCCGCGGCTCTGCAGCTGCGCTGCTCCAAGAGCTCGCTGCCCAGAGCATTGCACCAGCGACGCAGTGAGCTGAGGCTGCAGGGAAGGGGGAACAGTGGGGGAGATGCCGGGGGCTAGCCTCCCGGGCCAGGAGCTCAGGGGCCGGGCAGGAGGGTCCCGCAGTCCGTAGTTTGCCCACCTCTGCGTTAGACTAAAGCTACCTACAAGAGGGCTAATCGATGCTAATTGAGCTAGTTCCTGCTGACAGTGGTGGTGTTTTGTGTGAGGGTGATGGGGCTATTCTTTCTCTCTTTTGACTTGGGTCTATAAATTACTAATCTCTGCCCATTCCCGATCCCCTGGAGTGGCTGACACTCACTTGTGCACTGCTCCCTCCAGCACTTTTTCTGGTCCTTTATACAGTCTAGTTGTGAACATCCCAACCGATGGAGTTTTAGCCCTTCCCTTGGGACACTGCCCCGCAGCCTCCTAGATCTCAGCCAAGAAGGTTTTTGATACTCCTCTTCTGCCATTTCACTTTATCGCTTCTCCTTGACTCCCCCTCCGGTCGCTTTCCCCCTCTTGATGTTCATAGCTCTGATTTCTAGCAGATTGTTACCATTTTCCCCTTTAATTGTCATTTTCATATTTCCCTCCAGCCTCTTACCATTTTTAGATGATCCGTAAGGGTCCTCTTTAGAGCCCATTGAAGTTGGTGGAAAGATTCCCATTGACTCCAATAGCTGTTGATCGGGTCCTCTAGGCCTTCCAGGTTTGTTGATACCCCGTTGTGAAGGTCTTACTCAGAGCCGGCTGCAGTATTTGAAGTGGGGTTTCTCCAGTGCTATATCAGACAGGGCCTCCGCTCTCTGATCTGCACACAGCCCAAAATTGCAGGGGTCCTTATTTAATTTTGCTGCTCGGCTCCATTGCAGGCTCCTGTGTCATTTGCTGCCTGCTTTACTCCCTCCCACAGAGGATCTGTTTCTCATTCATTTTGCCAGGATGAATAAAGCTGGCTGGATCTCATGTTATTAGTCCCTGATCACTTCGTCGCAGCTTGCCCCTGCTGTCCTGCTTCTCCCTCTCCTCTCTGATGATGTCAGCACCCCTCTCTCTTATTCTCATAATTTAAGGTGATGTTTGGCTTCTTTTTCAGATCATTAGTGATACTCTTAAATAAAATCCCAGCCTCCTCCCAATTCCCACTGGACACCACTAGCCAATCAATACGCTGCTGTTTGTCATGGCCTTTTGTTTACAGTTCTTCCGCCAGCTCCAATCCATGTGACTATTCCTCAGCTGAGCAAATGGGGGATTAATTTTTCAAGAAAGATCTCCAGGGACACAGCAGCAAATCTCCCTTCCCATGGACTAGCATCCAGACAGCCTTGTGCTATGTGATGATGTTGAGCTCTCAAGCTAAACAGGATGGGGCTGGCTCAGGACTTGGATGGGAGATGTTCACGAAAAACCCAAGTGTTCGAGGAAGTAGTGTTGGCCATTCAGCAAGGGGTACTCTTTTTTCTCTTGGTCAGTAATGAACCAACATCCCAGGGTGGTGCTAGGTCCTTTATAAACCACCCTAATGCTGCTTCTGTTCTCATCTGTTCTTCTGAAACTGTGATCCACTGCACATTTCCACATGGTCCACAGAGCTGCTTCCATGCCAGTGGAGAAGTGTCTGTCTGTCTCCTGCTGACTGTCGCACAGTCCAGGACACTCTTGGGGTTTCCCTTTCCGACCAACTGAACTAAAAATCCCAAGCCCCTTTCTGCTCCTTGGTCTCCTGTATGGGTGTGTCAGGTGTTCCTTGGTTGGCTGTTTCTTTGGTGTAAATATGACTGTGATCAGCGTTACAGATAACCTCAGAATTGGAGGCAGGAAGAAAACTCCCAGGAAAATGGAGCCAACCCGGAAAAGGGCCTGGCGAGATCGATGCTGAGGAGAGGAAGGGCATGTAACAGGGGGGGAGGGGGGCTCAGTCTAATAAACGTGATCGCCTGCCACCAGGGAGAGGAAATAGAGCCCAGATACAGAATAGGGGAACATAATGCGGCAGCTGCCCCGTGGCATTAAAGTGAGTTCATTTTCATCTTCTAACCATGCTTAGTAGGAGTTTATCCCCTAACTGGGTGCTCTAGCTGCCATAGGGAAGGGCACTGAAGTTACCAGATTGCTGGTGATTACACTGGGAGAGGGAGGAGTCCAAGCGCAAGGGAGAGGCTCTTAAGTGCTGCATTGTTGCATTCAAGGGGCCCTGCTGCAGTTCTGTTGTTTCTGTAGGGTTACAAGCTTGGGCTCACAGGGCAGCAATTGCCAGGATTGCTCTGCTCCCAGTATCACATCATAGAATCATAGGGTTAGAAGGGACCACAAAGGTCATCTAGTCTACCCCCTGCCAAGATGCAGGATTTGCTGTGTCCAGGGCCGGCACAACCCATTAGGCAACCTAGGTGGTCGCCTAGGGCGCTAACATTTGGGGGGCGGCGGCCAGATCTTCGGCCGCCCCGGTCGTCGTCAGCATTTCGGGGGCGGGACCTTCCGCCGCCTAAGGCGGCAAAAAAGCTGGCGGCTCTCCTGGCTATGTCTAAACCATTCCAGACAGATGGCTATCCAGCCTCCTTTTGAAAACCTCCAGTGAGCGTCCACAGCCTCCTTAGGCAGTTTCTTCCTTTCTCCTACTGTTCTCACAGCTAGGAAGTTTTTTCTGAGATTTAATCTAAATCTGCTACACTGTAGTTTGATCCCATTGCCTCTTGTTCTGCCCTGTGTGGCAAAAGAGAACAACTTTTCTCCATCTTTTTTATGGCAGCCTTTCAAGTATCATGTCCCCTCTCAATCTCTTCTCCAAACTAAACATACCCAGTTCCTTCAGCCTTTGCACATATGGCTTGTGTTCAATCCCTTTGATCATCTTTGTTGCTCACCTCTGGATCCTTTCCAGTCTCTCTACATCCTTTTAATACATTGATGACTAAACTTGGACACCGTTCTCCAGCTGAGGCATAACCAGCACCGAGTAGAGCAGTAGTATCCCCTCCTGTGACTGGCATTCTATGCCTCTGTTAATGCAGCCCACATTGCATTTGCTTTTTCTGCAGCAGCATTGCATTGCTGACTCATGTTGAGGTTGTGATCCACCACAACTCCCAGATCCTTCTCTGCAGTGCTGCTGCCAAGCCAGTTATCCCCCATTTTGTATTTGTGAATTTGGTTTTTCTTCCCTCTGTGTAGCACCTTATATGTGTCTATGTTGAATTTCATTTTGTTGTCTATAGTCCAGTTCTCCAATTTATCAAGATTCCTCTAAATTTTAGCTCTATCCTCCAAAGTATTGGCAACCCCCCATCAGTTTTGTGTCACCTGCTAATTTGATCAGTATGCTCTCTAGTCCTACATCCAGGTCATTAATAAAGATGTTAAACAACACGGGACCCAGAACAGATCCCTGTGGAACCCCACTTGAGACCTCTCTCCAATCTGACATCATTCCATTAATAGCTACCCTTTGTTGTGGTTGTTTAACCATTGTGTATCCACTTAATGGTAGATCCGCCAAGCCCGCATTTCTCCAGCACACTTATCAGAATGTCATGTGGGACCGTGTCAAAAGCCTTGCTGAAGCCCAGGTATAATATGTCACTGCATTCCCCCTGTCCACCAAACCAGTTACCCTGTCAAAGAAGGAAATCAAGCAGGTTTGACATGATTTGTTCTTGGTTAATCCATGCTGGTTGCTTGTGATTACCCCTTCATCCTTCAGGTATTCACAAATTGAATGTTTTTTACATTGCTCTAGTAGCTTCCCAGGTATCAATGTCCGGCTGACTGGTCTATAGCTCCCCAGATCCTCCTCCTTCCCTTTTTTAAAGATGGGCACTACATTAGCCCTTCTCCAGTCTTCCAGGACCTCTCCTCTCATCCATGAGTTTGCAAATATTATTGCCAATGGCTCCGAGTTTCTTCAGCTAATTCCTTCAGCACCCTGGGGTGAATAGCATCAGGCCCTGCTGATTTGAATTCATTCAAATTGGTCAGAAGATCTCTGATGTGTTCTTTACTTATCCCGAGCTGAATCCCTTCCCCTTTATTATCTGTGGTAACTTCGCTAGTCATCTGGTCACACGTTATTTTTTGAGAGAAGACTGAAGCAAAGTAGGTCTCCTCTTCCCCAGTCCTTTGGTACCTCCCTGGTTCTCCAGGACTTCCCACACGTGATCGCTGGCCAGTTAGTAACTTCATTAGCCAGCTCCCTTTGAGACTGTAATGCAAGAGGCTGCTGCGCAGAGGGGGCTGGATGGAGGTTGTGGGAGATGGCAATGGGTGAGCTGGCCCTGGGATCTCACCTGCTGCTACCTCCTGTTAAGCGGGCTGCTGACTAGTTGGTCGGGTGTGTTTCTAACTGTGCCTTTTCCCCCCTCCTCCAGGTAAGACGATGAGGCAGTAGAGATGCTTCCCTTCCTGTTTGCCACCCTGGGCTCGGCAGGAGCCACCTGCCAGGCCGCCGGCTGTAACAGCAGCACCAAGGATTACTGCTACAGTGCCCGCATCCGCAGCACTGTGCTGCAGGGCTTGCCCTTTGGGGGAGTGCCCACCGTCCTAGCCCTCGACTTCATGTGCTTTCTGGTAAGTCTCCCGCACCATTGTGCTGCTGCCGTTTGCCTGGGGTGGTGCATGGCTGTGAGGATGAAGGATGGACAGAACTAGTCAGGACTCCTGGGTTCTATCCCCAGATGTGGGAGGAGGAGTGTAATCTACTGATTGGAGTCAGGACTCCTAGCCCTGGTTGCCAGCTCAGGATAGAGAGTGGTTAGAGCTAGGACTCCTGAATTCTCCTCTCAGCTTTTGCTATTGGCTCCTCTGTGATCTTGGGCAGGTCACTTGACCGCTCTGTGCCTCGGTTTCCCCTCAGTGAGATCGGGATTCTGACACTGACCTCCCAGAGGCAGTGTGGTTCTGAAGCTCAAGGAATTAGCACCTGCCAAGCGCTTTGACAACCCAGTCTCTAGAAAAGCACAATATTGTTCTTCCTGCATCTCCTTACCCACCTGTGTGCTGCTCTAACACAGCCCCCTCCCCTGGCAGTGGTAAGCTGGCCGGCTGGGGAACCCCGGCTCTGTCATCAAAGCACAATGGTTTTTTTTCAATAGCTTTAAGAAAAAAATGCCATGACTGTGTCCCCGCTGAAATGGCGCGGCGCAGTGTGGGCAGGGCGAGCTTGTCCTGCAGCCCTGCTGGAAGGAACAGCGCCAGGGAGCTCACTCTCCGTGGTCCGTTCAGTCCTTTGGCTTCTCTGGCTGGGCTGCCGACGAGGGGGCCAGTTAGGGCCAGCTGGGACGTGCCCGGCTTCGTGCCGCGTCCCTCCAGCCCTAGCTCACGTCGCTAAGGAGCAGCCTGAACTTGACAGGCAGGAAGACAGGGATGGGGAGAGGGTTGGGGCTGGGAACATGGAGGTTTGGGGTGGCCACTAGGGCTATGTATGTGACTCGGGCCAACCTAATGCCCAGGCACTGGGCTTTCCTGCCTTGCCAGCCCCAAGCCCCCCTCTGATTCTTCTGCTGCTTCCTGCATAGTCTGAGAACAGATGGCTCCATCTCCGCTAGTGATATCAGGGCTTGGGAGGCGGCAAGGTGTCATCTGTTTGTGCTCTGGAGAATAGGCCAGGTTGCCACCTATTATTATTATTATTTATTATTATTGGTTTGTATTACCATAGTGCCTAGGAGCCCGAGTCATGTGCTAGGTGTTGGACAAACGCAGCCTTGATCTGTGTGCGTGGCTGGCAGGATGGATGACCCAGCGTGCTTCCGCTCTGCCTGTGCATCAGCCAGCAGCCACTCCTGTGGGGCCTCCAGCCAGGGCTAGGCCTCGAAGCTAACAATGCCCTCTCCCCCCCACCCCAATTCACAGAGCTCCTTCATCTGGGGTCTCTGCGTTGGATCCACCTCTCTGGTGTGGCCGGTGTCCGTTGTAAGCTGTGGGCACACGCTGCTCGTGGCTGGCTTGTCTCCTTACAGCCCCTGTTCTGTTCGGATGCATTTCCGGGCTGGGACAGGATCAGCTGCGGGCGAATGCTGCCAAGCCCTATTGTGGGGTGCTTTCAGAGGAAGGAGCTGTAATATGCAAGCAGTGAAGTTCCCAGCCGCTCTTGCAGCAGGATGGCAGCTGGGACAGGTACTGGAGCTCTGGGCTCTGGTGGGAGAATGCTACAGACTCACTCCAGGGAACAGATGTGGGCAATCCTGCATCCCAGAGTCCCGTTTTCTGGGCCTGGGTGCCCAAACAAGGGCCATGTTGGTGCCTTGCCAGGAACTGCAGGGCTGCACCCAGCACAGACAGAACAGAGCAGATTGCAGCCCCCTTGGAGTCCAGGAGTTCTGCAGTGCACCCCTCTCCTCTCTGATTCAGGGATGGTGCCACACACAGACTCCAGGCCCAGTACACAGTGCGACCCGCTCACTCAGGTCATAGCACATTGCATGCTGGGACTGTGCTTCCTGTGGGCCACCCCTCTGCCCACCAGATGGGAGATCCGCTCTGCAGGTCGAGCTGTGGCCACCCCCACTTCATGCTGTATCTCTTCCCCACCCCCACCAAGAGCAGGCCTCAGGGAAGCTTTTGCTCTCCTATCGTACGCTGCCATTCATTCATTCAGCTGCAGTAGCTGAGCCACCCAAGCAGAGCCTGACGCCCGCTCTGTAGTGCTGCCACCTCTGACAGCAGGTCAAGTTGTGATAGCGCGAACGTGGTTACTGGGGAGATCTCGTGCTTGTGATGTTGGATCCCTCTTCCCAGGCCATGCTGCCACACCGGAGTGACAAGGGTCCAATTCCTTATGCCACAAGTGCAAGCCAAGCAGAGATCCAGCTGCTTCCTCTGTCCCCTGTCATTGTTCTCTCCATGCCAGGCAGACAGCCGGGCGGGGGGAGGGGGTGTCGGGGAGGGCTGCTTCCCCAGCCAGGGGGGCCTTGTCTCATAGCTTCTCTTGGCACTTTTGCAGGCACTGTTGTTTGTCTTTTCGATCTTGCGTAAAGTAGCCTGGGACTATGGACGTCTGGCCCTGGTGACTGATGCTGACAGGTAAGGTCAGGATGGGAGTGGGCTTGAAGAAAACGGGGTACAGGGTTAAACCCTCTGCTGTGTGCCCAGATGGCAGGGGGGTGGGGAAGGAGTGGTGCTCAGGTTGGTCTAACCCCATAATTCCCAGGAACAGGGAGAGTCCCTGCAGCCCAACATGCCAGCCCTTTGTCATTCCGACTTCATCCCTGTGCAGGAGCAAACCTCGGGTGGCTCTGGAGATGGGATTGTAATGTATGATTTATGATTCCTACAGCAACAGTGTGCACGATTTGCTCTACAGCACAGACTTGTGGGAACAGCAATGGCCCGGCAAGGAAGAGGTGGAATGGGGAAGAGGTTATGGGAGGGCAAGGTCTGACGCAATAACTGCTTTGTTAGCAACACAGCTGGAGGGGATTGTACTTTTTCTTTTCTGTACTGATTTCTTTTTAAGTAGATTGGGAGTCACGGGCTGGGTTTTCAGGTACTGTAGCTCTTAACTGTACAGGTCACAGCACTAAATCTGAGGAAGCAAAGGTAGCCGAGCGCGGGTGGCTCAGAAGCAGGGCTCTGAGCTGGAAGCGTGAGCGAAGTGAGTCTGGAGAAGGGATCCAAGTGAAGTTCTTGATGGCTGTGTTAGTGGCCGAAGGGAAAGCTTTTCCCCCTAACTACTAATGGAATCTTAGTCTTAAAATATAATTGAACGTGGCTAGGCTAAGACACTGCCGTGTGGACTGAAAACTGGCTGAAGGACTGAGCCAAGGGCTCTGATGAGGCAATGCAGTGTACCAGCTGGAAGAGGTGTCTAAAGATCCCTGCTGGGTATGACTTCTTTACTGAAATGGAAGAAGAGTATGTGAATATTAATGAGTCTGTCGCAGGACGCCAGCTCGACAGTGAAGCAACAAGAGGCAGAGTAGGTGCAGGGGCTGCGCTGTTCTCCTTATTCCATGACGTCCCTTGTTTCAAATCCCAACTGCTAGATGATCTTGTGTTCAGACGCTGCTCAGCTCCGGCAGAGAGGGCCTTTAGAAAGGGTTCCATGCTCTCTGGGTCATTGCACCCATGTACGTTAATTCCATTGTGGAACGAAGCACTCAGAGAATCTCGGAAGAACCGAGTCCCAGGTATTCGCACCGCCTGCCATAGTGGAGGCAAAGGAGTTCTACATATTTTCAGTTTCACTTTCCATTGCAAAAGCTACCAGGCTGACCTTTGCGTCATTGCTCTGTGTGTTAAGCATTCAAATTAGTCTGGTTTGCACCTCTCGTTACGTGACAAGGGAAAGAATGGCAGAGTCGTTTTCTTCTAACAGTGAACAAGGACCTTTATTTGAATAAATTAATCCGTTATATTTCCAGAGCTACTCTGTCTCCTCCTTACTTAGGCGGAGCTGTGAACGCTGCTGAGGCTAGAGAAAACAGCACCGGGGACCCAGAGAGATGGGGAAAAGCAGGCAGGAGGTAGCCATGTGAGGAAACGTAGCTGATCCCTTGTGGGGAAAGTAATCCACAACTAGATCTCAATGGGACGGAGGAACCTGGTCAGCAGCAATGGTGTGAGAGACCCAGGGTGAGAACGCGCAACTAATTACCGAGCCTGCCATGTGATGTGGCTGCAGTGAGGCCAGGGCAGCATGGGTGGCAGGGTAAGACGCATTGTTTTGGAGCAGGGAGGGGATACCGTCCCCGGGGAGAACGTGCCGGGCGCTGCGTTTTTGGCAAGTAGCTTCACTTCAAGCTGCCTCCATGCCTCAGGGGTTCTGGCTCCCAGTGCCAAGCTCAGGCCTCTAGACCAGCGTTGCTCAACCAGTGGCTCACAACTCCTGGGGGGGCACCAAAGGCAGTCGGGGTCATGGCAAGGAGTTGGAAGAGTTATTAACTGTAAAGCAAATGACATCTCACATGCCCTTACACTTCAAGGTCCAGTGTTCTCTACCACCCTGGCCAGCCACTCCCACAAATGAACTATCCAGGCTTTGCGCTGTTTGCATTGATACATCTCCTACTCTTCCTTTTTATACAGCGGGGGTCGTGACATTTTTTGACAAGGAATAAAGGGTCACCAGCCTGAAAAGGGTGAGAGACACTGGCCTGAGCCATGCTGCCTGTTTCGTACACCCAGTGCCAACTGCCTGCCCTTGTAACTGGCCCGGTCTGCTCTTCCCCTTTGAGGGGTGGCTCTGCCCAGGTTCCACATTTGTTCTTCAGCTTTAGGCCACGTTCCCTTCCCCAGGGGGACATTTTTTCTTGGTTGACTTGCTCAGTCTCTTTGAGAACTGTGCAAACTTCAAATCTCCCTGCCTGGTCCTCTCCTCCCACCCACCCACCAACACACCTTTCCTCCAAACATGGCTCCCACAGATCTTGGGATATCGGTGCCCTCCGGAACCCTCAGAGCCGCCTCTTGCGAGGCAGGGCCCATCCCACACATGCTAGGTGAGGTCCTATTCAATCCTGGTGCAACCCATGCCTGCTGGGTGTGGTGCTCTGTCCCCCTCTAGTGACACCTAGAACACTTAGCTGAAGCTGCAGCAGACTCATTAATTTCTAAGAGGCATGTGGCTTTTAGCTGATGCATTAAGTTTCAGAGGTCCCAGGTTCGATGGCCGGGATCTGTTGGCGTTACACTGGCACAGCTTGGCTAGCAGGTGGATCCTCGCCCTGTGCTTAGACGGCCTGCTGCCCTTGCTAGCACCTATCTGTGAGTAATCGCATTATGTCTGGGTGCTGCCAACTGGAAGGAGAGCTGCAGCTAACATGGAACAAATAATGCCCAGCTGGAAAGCTAGGGCACTAGGAGGCCCGGAGGAGAGTTGCTGAGACAGGAGCAGGTATTGGCAGCAGAGCATCCCCATTTGTGTGCTTTTAGTCTCAATAGCACGGCCACTTGTGGGGCCTGGTGTGAACTGGCAGGGAAGGGCTACGTGGGAGAGTTTGCAGGAAGCCATGATCCCCGTGGGGAAGTTGAGGGAGGCACTAGTTTGAGAACTGTGCCAGGTTCCAGCTGCTTCATGCTGGGCTTCTAGCAGACAAGCAGGTTCTCCTATCCATCCCCGGGCGGGCAGCAGGGCAAAGGCGACTGGGATTGCTGCTTCCCTAGGGAACACTTTGGATTTTCCCATGAAATGTGGTGCCCAAGTGCTGCTAGTTTTGGGTTGGAACAAGAAACCCAGCCCCCATGGGATCCGAAAGGTGACAGCTGGCCAGAGCCCAAACGCACTCTGTCTCTGTGCACTGATGTACAACCCATGTACGGAGACACAGCCCCTGCCCCAGGGGGCCTGCAGTCTCAATTAGACAGACAAACCTTTTGCCCCTCGGGTAACCTGCGGCAGGGACACACTCCATGCAGAACAGATAGGAGCTGGAACAACAAAAATATCTGTGTGAAGGTTTTTCTGGCCACCTCCCATTCCCGACCGGGGCAGGGAGATGGTGAAAGTGCCTCTTCCAGTCCTGTGCAGATAATAGTGGGGAGCTGGTGCAGAGGCCGGGGCCATTCTTTCAGGTCCTGTGTTTGCTGCTGACGCGGATGGGAAGAGATTACATCCCCCAGGTCAAAGAAGGAATCTGGGGCTGAGAGGAGGCAGCCAGAGTCCTGTCGCACCACAAGGGAACGCGAATTGCTCTGCCCCATCAGTAAATGGACCCATAGGGCCGATTCATCTAGCAGCAGGAGTGGGGATGGGAGATCTCTGCAACTGGATCCTTGGGAGCCGTAGGTTGAAATGTTTCCAGTTAACATGGAGCTGTTAAAGATAAGGGTGCAACAAAGCCCAACATAGTCTTCAAGTGTGAGCCTCTAGGTGGAATACAGAAAATGCATTTAGTAGAGGACCACTAGGCATCACTTAGAATGATAAAACCAAACTTTATTCAGAAGCAAAATGCATCGCTAAGCAAACAGGGATGCAATTACTACTTAATCAATGAGCGATCAGTCCACTGACAACAGCCTGATGATCCTGGAACCTAACGGGACCCTTTGGACGTTTATTGGAGCTCCTTCCAAATTTACAAATCGACTCCTTTTATAATCTATTATCGTACTACTTAACATTACACTGCCCCTTACCATAATTATATTTCCTCCTCTTCCTTATTGGCTCTTTACATAGCTCAGTGGTTTGAGCATTGGTCTGCTAAACCCAGGGTTGTGAGTTCAATCCTTGAGGGGGCCATTTAAGGATCTGGGGCAAAAATCTGTCTGGGGATTGGTCCTGCTTTGAGCAGGGGGGTTGGACTAGATGACCTCCTGAGGTCCCTTCCAACCCTGATATTCTATGATTATGTAAATGAATATCTGACCCAATGTCCTTCCCATACTATCAATACAGACAGAATTATAAAAAACATTCACAATTCTCAAAAACACTCCTTAGAAACCCTGCTTGAAGCAGTTATAACCAAAACATAACGGCACCATAACCCTGGCTCACGTCCTTGCTAAATGCAGTTTTCCCATCTTACTGTCTCCAGCTTCTCTCTAACTCGCAACCTCCATTCCCCTGACTCCTCTACACTTAGGCCCTAAATGTAACTACCACTAATTTCTTAATCTAAACCATACTATAGGCTGCGCCTTGCACACTGTGCGTGGGTGGCCCTGATTTGTCTCCACTACTGCTGGGTCAGCTGCATAAGTGTGTGGGGGGGGAAGGCTGCATTGAGGACCAGGGCCAGAGGGCAGCACCCTCGATCTGAGGCTCTCCCAGATAGGTGCTTCCCTGGTGCCAGCGCTCCTGGTCTTCCCTCATGTCACTGCTGACTCTTTGGCCCCTGCCAGGGGGGAGGGAGTTCTGTGGTGTGACACTTTCATGCAGCCCATTCGGGATGCACCAGACAATGGAACACGGGTCAAATCCTGCTTCCCTGGGAGTCAGTGGGGCTTTGCCTCTAGGAAAGGCGGAGCTGCTTGTCCTAAACTGTCCCCTCTCCTAACACAGGGCCTCCTTCCCTCTCTGTCAGTCTGGGCTGGCCAGACAGCGCTGTAGGGAGAGGCCTCCATGCGCAAGAACCGCTCAAGAGAAGGAACAAAAGAGAGACCGGAAGGGAAGCCGAACCAGCGGGTTCCTCTGACTTAGCCCTGCAGGGATATTGGCCTAGCCTGGAACAGCTGCACCAGATCAGTGGCCCCAGTCAGTGGAGTTCTCTCAGCTCACCAGGTTCAATTCTTCAGCAGCTGGCCCTGTCTGGTCTGGAGTTGGGCTGACATTCCCAGGGAGGGCAGTGCCTGAAGATCAGCTGGTGTTTTCCCTTTCATAGGAGGGTCCCACCTGGTTGCAGTGGCCCCCTGTGCTGGAATGGCAGGACAGATTACTCAGCATGTTTGTAAAGAGCTGTGCATCATTGGTACGCATGAGTTCCCTGGGCCTTACACTTGTTTTGCACTAAAACTAGAGAGTGGAGAGCTCATTTCACCAGATTTAGGAGCCACTTGTATATTGTTGGTTCTAGATTTGGGACAGAATCTGGAGTTTTGGGGGTTCCCTGAGTTCTGGGCTGCTGTGTATTTCCTTATTTAATTCCCTGAGGCCGGGCAAGCTAATCTGTCCTTGAAGACACTGTTTGCACTGGCTCAGGATGGAAAAACAACGTTTGTTTCACTCCGTTTGGGGAAGCAATAGTTTAAGTGATGGTGCAAATGTTCTGCAAAATCCCAGATTTAGATGCAAACCCAAGTAGAATCTGAGAGGTTCCCAGAGCCCAGCGCATCCTAGGGTCTCCCACTCCAAACTAAAGACCCTTCTTGTGACTGTCGCTACTGGTGGTGGTGCAGTGCAGATCTTGTCGATGTGTGTTACAGACGGAGCCAGCACCAGAGGTGTCAGGATTCCCCCCCACTCTGAACTCTGGGGTACAGATGTGGGGACCCGCATGAAAACCCCCCTAAGCTTATATTCTACCAGCTTAGGTTAAAACTTCCCCAAGGCACAAATTCCTTTCCTCATCCTTGGACGGCATTGCTGCCACCACCAAGTGATTTACACAAAAATTCAGGGAAGGGTCACTTGGAATCCCTATTCCCCCAAAATATCCCCCCAAGCCCCTTCACCCCCTTTCCTCGGGAGGCTTGAGAATAATGTACCAACTAATTGGTTAGCAATGTTAGCACAGACCAGACCCTTTGTCTTCAGGACACTGAAATCAATCAGGTTTTTAAAAGAAGGACTTTATTATAAAGAAAAAAGAATCACACCTGCAAAATCAGGATGGAAGGTAACTTTACAGGGTAGTAAAAAGATTTAAAACACAAAGGACTCCCCTCTGGGCTCAGCTTCACAGTTACAAAAACAGGAATAAAACTACCTCTGTATCATAGGAGAAATTCACAAGCTAAAACAAAAGATAACCTAACGCATTTCCTTACCCTACTTACAATTTCTGTGGTTTTAGATGGATTATTCCAGGTTTATTTTCAGGAGATGTTGTACCTGCTTGGCTTCTCCCTCCGTCCAGAGAGAGAACAAACAAATCTTTCCCCCCTCAGATTTGAAAGCATCTTCTTTCCTCCTTGGTCCTTCTGGTCAGGTGCCAACTAGGTTATTTGAACTGCTTAACCCTTTACAGGTAAGGCGATTCAGTACAGCTGCCAAGGAGGGATTTTATGCTACTGCATACATAAAGGTTGTTACCCTTCCCTCTATATTTATGACAAGAGATGTGCATGAGATTTCCAGACAAACATGATAGGGCCCTGCCCTGAGGAGTCTGCAGTGTGCTGGGAAACTGAGTGCTGTAAGGAAGTTTTTCCTTTATTTTCTCTCTCTGATCTGATTGTTGACAGGTTTCTCCCCAGGATGGTGAGAAGCAGCCCGACGCTGTGTCTACTGGGGCCGAGGAGGCTCCCTGTGGGTACTGCAAAGTTCCCATTGTTGTAACCCTCCCTTTTTGTTTCTCTGCCCCCAGGCGGCGGCACTGGCAGACAGAGCGAATGGAGCGGGAATAGTATGTTGTTGTTTTTTCAGGGTATTTTTCCTTCCCTCTCTCTCCTGTTTTTTTCCTTTGGAAATGGCTAGGGATTCAGGGCTGGGATTAGTGTCTCCTGATCAATGCAGATTTTTCAGCCATACATCACAGCTGGGAAGGGACGGGGCTCATTCTGGTCCCTGTCAAACAACAGCAATGCCACTGTGATCCTGGGAGGGTACCACAGCACTCACCCTGTTCCACCACAAATTCATGTGTGTGCTGGAACTGGGACAGGGACCAAATCATGCCCGTTTCCAAAGGCTGGCTGGGTCCCCACACTACTTACCCCTAGATCTTTTCCTCCACCCTTCCCCTGTGTGTCTATGGATAGTGAGGCAACAGGGATACTTGGGAACCCTGGATACAGACTACCTGTCATTAGTGCTGTTTTATTGGGGTGAATAGGAAAAGGGGTTTCTCTCACCCCCTGTTCAGAGCTAGGCTTTGATCATATAAGCCCTAGGGGAGCCAGAATTCAGCTACCACACCCGAAGAATGCACCAGTGTGAATAATGCACTGGTGCACTGTCCCAATCCCTCCCTCCAGCTCAGCCAGTAATGCAGACATGAGCTTCCTATTACAGAACCATTGCCAGCACCATCTGGTACCTTGGCTTGGCACTGCCCATTGTAGACCCCAGCAGTGAGTATGTGGGCTGGTCAGACAGACTCTGAATAGCCCCTTGTACAGCCACACATTCTTCTTGTTTCCCCACTGGGGATGTCCCTTTGCATTTTGACTTCTTCTTAAAAATGCTCCATCTCCCACAGAGCCGCAGTCTAGAACATAAGAACGGCTACACTGGGTCAGACCCAAGGTCCATCTAGCCCAGTATCCTGTCTTCTGACAGCAGCTGGTAGCAGTTGCTTCAGAGGGAATGAACAGAACAGGCAATCATCAAGTGATCCATCCCCTGTCGTCCAGCCCCAGCACCTGGCAGTCAGAGGCTTAGGTCTGATCCCTGAGTCTTTCTTGTGCTACTTTAACTGGCTACACTGTCTAGCCTGGATGGGGGGTGATTGGCTCTCACCCTCACGCAGGACCAGGGTGGGAGGCAGTACACAGCAAACTGGTGCCTGTCTTCTAAGTTCTGCTCAGTGCCAGGGGTGAGCAGGGCAGCAACAGAAACTGACAACATCTCAGGAGTGCTCTGTGCTTGTCAAGTTCCCATTGCTGCCCTGCTTGGCCCTGGAGCCAGGTGGTAGGGGCTGTGGGCAGGGCACGTGAGGTAGCAGAGGGCCATCCTGCCATTTCCCCCCACTCTGGCACTCTTGGTACTTTGTGCAGAGCCATGGTCTGCAGCCTTTGGCTTGAGAAAACGTCTGGCCCTCATTCTGTGTGTCTGGCTCACTTGGGATGATGCAGGAAGCACCAGTGCCCAGTCACTCATCCTCCTCCATGTGTGCCCTGGCTGGCTGGTGGGACTCAGGCTAATGCTGTGCTGCCGGTGTGGGGACCACAGGAGGAAGGCTGCTGCCTGTAGCCGTGTGTGCCTATGCAGGGAGAGGGCATCTTGTGCTTGTCCCAAATCCTGCAGCTTTTCTTGTGTTTGAATCTTGCACTTGGTGAGGCTGTGGGGTGAACTGTTCCCAGACTAACTTATCTGCCTTTTTGCTAACAATGTGGGTGCTGGGCCCCACCTAGAGAGAGGCCCCATCTCTCCTGGCCACGGTGCTGGCTGGGGGGAGGCACAAATCCAGCAGTGGGTGTTGCCCGGGGAGATGCAAGCAGGTCCACTCGGTGTGAGCGAGGCAGCAGAGATGGGACTGACCTTTCACACCACCCGCTACCGCTGGGGCCTAGAGCAAACACGTCCAGAGAGACTCCGCGGCTTCTTCCTCCCTCTTTCTCAGCCAGCAGCAGGCACAGGCCTCGCGGGTGATCTCCGGGGGGGGGTCTCCCCAACCTGCCGTTTGAACCTTGATGTGAGGCTCACCTCCAAGTCATGGAGCTGAGGGAGGAAACCCCGGCCAGACCCCTCCTCCTCCATGGCTGACAGCAGCTCCCCTCCCCCAGTTATAAGCTGGATCTCCGTGATGGGCTGGGACACCGCACCCACGGAGAAGCAACGCCAGCCCCAGTGAGCCTGGTAGGTTCCCGCTGTAACGTTGCTCCTTGCTAGCAAATATCTGGCAGCTTCATGTGGTGTGTTTTTGTGTCAGTCTGTCCCTGCACACACCTGTCTGTCTGCTTCGGCCCTGGGCCTCTCAGTCATCTGGCCCCCGGGGAGCCCCCCCGCGATCAGTGAGTCAGCCAGCCGGTGTCAGCTGAAGCGAAGGAGAAGGCCGGCTGCATGCCCTAAGGAGGAGACCAGCCCGCATCTCTCAGGTAGGAGTGGGGAGCTCACAGCTCTGCAGGGCTCCCCACCCACGCGGCTGCCTGCATCACATCGACATCACACCGCTGCAAATCTTCCCCGTCATCTGCCTGGCAACACGTTGCTCGCTGGCTCCCCCTGGTGGGTGCTGTATGTGTTCGTTTCCCTGTGCGCAGGATTATTAACTCCTCCAGTGAGTCATAGCTGCGTAGAAATCGAATCCTGGACGATGCAGTTGGGGGAAAGATCTGCCCGGTCCCATCTCGACTGGCTCTTGGGGACCAGGCAGGATCAGGCCCTACAGCAAGTTTTGCTAGAGCTTTGCCCAGCCTGGCGTTAAACATCCTAGTTGCCGGGGCTGCCAGCGCCCCGTAGGAGACCAGGGTATCTCACTGTCAGGAAGTGTCTCCCGAGTGTCATTCAGAATAATCCTTTTGTTAATGTTGCGGCATTACTCCTAGTTATGCCCCCCTGCATCTCCCCAAACAGACCCTCTCCTCCTCCCACTCAATTCACACTCTCATTGCCGAGCCAAGCTCGTCAGATTTAACCCTCCTCACTCTTTTCTCTAAATTAGTCCCTCGCTGCCCTTCTCTGCCCACCCTCGGTTTGTTGTCTTTCTGGTACCGAGGAGCCCGGAACAGAACACAGTCACCCAGCTATAGAGCCAGAGAGAGGAGCTAGCCCCTCCCTGCTCTGGGCCATAATGCATGTGGAACTGAGGGGCCCAGAGCTGAGTGGGGGATCCCAATTTAAGTCTCCCAGGGCAGTGCAGAGAATGGCTCTCCCCTGTGGAGGGCTGTGTCTGCATATGCAGCCTCAGACCTGCAAGCATCTGTCTCATCAGCTCTTCGCTCTCATTTCTTCCCACACCCCTTGAAGCCTTTCTAACCACCCTTTGCTCATGGCATTAATTCCTATGTAGGTGGCAGCTGGGATGGAGGGAGAGCCAAGTTCTTCCAGAGCTGCTCTGCTCTTCTCCAGTCTCCTCTCAGGACACTTGGCAGGCAACAGGTATCCTCCTGATTCCTTTAGCTGGGTCACAGGCGTCTCTGGCCATAGGCCTTACCAGGGAATCACTAATGAGGACCATTTGCCTCTTGCTCACTTGCTGGGCCCCTGACCTCCCTTGGGCTCTTCTCCATCTGATCTTCTGCCTGGTAGTGCCTGTTTGGAGGGTCCAGTTTGAATGGCTCCATGTTTCCCTCTGTTCCTATTGCTGCCAGGTTTTCCCACTTCCTTCAATTCATCCCTCCTTTCCCCTTCCAGGGTTTTAGCCTGCTGGGACTCTCCCACTGTTTCTCTTCTCGGTGACTTCAGCTGCTCCTTTGCCCCACAGCTCCAGCCTTGTCCAGAACAGCAACCAGCTTGTGGCCTATCTGTGGACAGCCATCTTGGTCTTTGCTCATAAAGAGAGGCCTTCTGCATGTCCCACATCAGCCAGCCTTGAACGCTTCAGCAGCAAGCTGCCCCAGAATCTGCCATAGCCAACTGCTATGTGGTTCAGGGCCCGTGCTGGAGGCTTTCAGGGCTTAGCCATCTCCAGGCCTCCCTTCTTCACTGCTAGAACTCTCCGAGTGTCCTGCTGTTTATAACTCCCACCTCAGGTAATCACACGCTCCACCTTTGCTTCCTCAGCAGCCTAACTCTCACTTTCTCAAGCTCCAAGTGCATGTTCAGGTCCCCCACTATGTTCTCTGGCCTCGTTTCCTTCTCAGCTGTGATGCTACTAATGCAAAGCGTTCCAGGATCCTGACCTCCATCATCACCACCTCCTCTGGGCAGAAATTACCTCCTCCCCTTTTATTGCTCCCTGAACAATTTGCTTAATCCAGATAATTGGTGTGGAAAAGGGGTGAACAGAGAGGTGGCAACATTTGCCGACTATACAAAATTACTCAAGATAGTTTAGTCCAAAGCTGACTGCAAAGTGCCAAAGCAATCTCACTAAACTGGGGGGGTGAAGGGGGGTGGGAAATAGCAAATGAAATTCAGTGTTGCTAAGTGCAAAGTGATGCACATTGGAAAACATAATCCCAACTATACATATAAAATGATGGGGTCTAAATTAGCTGCTACCACTCAAGAAAGAGACTTTGGAGTCCTTGTGGATAGTTCTCTGAAAACATCTATTCAATGTGCAGCTGAGTCAAAAAAAGTTAACTGTGTTAGGAACCATTAGGAAAGGAATAGATAATAAGACAGAAAATATCATAATGCCACTATATAAATCCATGGTACACCCACATCTTGAATACTGCATGCAGATCTGGTCACCCCATCTCAAAAAAGATACATTAGAATTCAAAATGGTACTGAGAAGGGCAACAGAAACAATTAGGGGTATAGAACAGCTTCCACATGAGGAGAGGTTAAAAAGACTTGCACGCTTCAGCTTAGAAAAGAGACGACTATGGGGGGATATGATAGAGGTCTATAAAATCATGACTGGTGTGGGGAAAGAAGTGTTCTTTACCCCTTCACATAACATGAGAACAAGGAATCACCCAATGAAATTAATAGACAGCAGGTTTAAAACAAACAAAAGGAAGTATTTCTTCACACAGCACGCCGTCAACCTGTGGAACTCCTTGCCAGGGGATGTTGTGAAGGCCAAACCTATAACTGGTTCAAAAAAGAATTAGATAAGTTCATGGAGTGTAGGTCCATCAATGGCTATTAGCCAAAGATGGTTAGGGACACTCCTCCACGCCCTGGGTGTCCCTAAACCTCCAACTGCCAGAAGTATCTGGCAAGGGCCATTGTCAGAGATAGGATACTGGACTAGATGGACCATTGGTCTGACCTAGTATTGCCACTCTTATGTTCTTATTAACCTATCCCTTTGAGAAGGGATTTCCAGCCAGACTCTGGAGTACGGACCCAGCTGAGGCTAAAGCAAGCCCTGCCGGGCCTGGCTTTGAGGAGCAGGGAAGGAACCTCAGCCAGACCTCTCCTTTCGCCTGCCCCTGTGTTTCCCAGCTCTAGGGTTTCCAGTTTGAATGGGGGGCAAGCTGCTCCTCCCACTGTGCACAAGCCCCCCTGCTCTTGAACCAGCTTGCAGAGCAGGAGAGGGAGTTATGGTGGAGGTGTGCAGGCAGGATCCGAGAACAAGGGAAGAGACGCTCAGGGTGAGGACTTGGGGAAATCATGGAGTGATGCATGTAGTCTTCCATTCCCAGCTTCTCGTAGAGGTTTAGGGTAGCCCCGAGAGTGGCCAGTTAAGGACCTCAGCACCTTTCTCTGAACCTTTTCCAGTTCCACTATGAGCTTTTTGAGATGGGGTGACCAGAACTGAACACAGTATTCAAGGTGTGGGCGTACCGTGGCACTATGGTATTTTCTGTCTTATCATCTGTCCCTTTCCTAATAGTTCCTAACATACTGTTAGCCTTCTTGACTGCTGCTGTGCACTGAGCAGTGGTTTTCAGAGAACTATCTTCGGTTACTCCAAGATCTCTTTCTGGGGGAGTAACAGGTAACTTAGAACCCATCACAGTATATGCATAGTTGGGATTTTTTTCCTAATGAATGTTACTTTGCACTTATCAACATTGAATTTCATCTGCCATTTGGAATGGAAAGTGAAATATTTTATAATATTTTGCATTAATATATTTGCTACACTGTGTGTGTGTTTAAAAAAAAAAAAAAAGTAGTATGTTAATTCACTCTCCCACCAACCCACTTATTCATCCAGAAGGACATAGGAATTGAACCATCCCAGTGGTCCATCTTTTCCAGGATCCTATCTCTGACATCGTTCACTAATGCCAAGTGCTTCAGAAGAAGGTCCAAGAACCCCTCTAGGGGATAATTTTAGAATAACCTCCCTGTATAGGAAGCCCTGGCAATTGACGATCAGCTGAAGTGTTTCTAGCCCTCAAACATTTCTATCCTAGCTAGTAACTGTGATTTATATTTATTCCTATAAATGTCTCTTTCTTACTGTCTTTTAACCTTGCTTGGCTCTTGTCCTCAATAATATCCTGTGGCAGAGAGTTCCACAGGGTACTGTTCACATTGTGTGGGGTATCTCTTCCTTTCATAAGTTTTAAAGTTTGCCTCTTAATTTCATGGGGCAGCTCCTTGCTGTTGGGTTATAAAGGGGAAAACGGGAGCTCCCAACTGACCTACGTGCTACTGATCTACCATTGGTTATTGTGTGTCCCTTTATTGGGTCGCCTCTTCTTCATTGCCTCTCTAAACTAAACAGTCCTAACCTCTCCTCCCGTGGCAGCCTCTGCAGGCCCCTCTTCACTGGTGGGTATGGCTGTAATCTACTGTGTCCTCACTCTCTCCTGCGCATGCGCACAGACTCGTCATGCTCTCTGAGAATGTGTCTGAGCTGCTGCGGGTGTCTCCAGCCAGGCCTGGGAGCGAGGGGTTAGCAGGGAGAGTGGAAGGACAGGGAAGCTGCTCACACCTACTCCCCTTCTGTCTGTCCCTGCGAAGGCCGGCGGAGTTGGGTGTCCGGGAGGCTGGCCCTGTGCACTGCAGCACACCCCCTGTACTCCAGTCTGAACAGTGCTGTCTGAGGAGGGGCTTTCCACTAACTGCTGTCCTCTCTGCTCTTCTCTCTGCATCTCGCCTGGGGCAAACTGACCTGAATTAACCTCTGACCTCCTGGGTGCTGCTTCCTGGCTGAGCTTCTCTCTTCTCCTTCGTTAACCCTTTGATTGTCCCCCCCTCTGTAATTTCAGCGTGGCGTCCGCTCTGCACTCCGACAGCCACGACCGCTACGAGCGCCTCACCTCCGTCTCCAGCTCCGTGGACTTCGACCAGAGGGACAATGTGAGTAGCAGCAAAAACTAATCCAGTGCCTGCCAGCTGAGCAGCTCATAGCCCATCACACATTAGCCAAGTCTCCCAGCCCCTGGAGAAATGGAGCAGTGTCATCATTCCTGTTTTGCAGAAGGGAAACTGAGGCACGGAGAAGGGAAGCCATTTGCCCAAAGCCACATGTAAATGAGTGAGGGAATAGAACCCAGGAGTCCTGGCTTCTAGTCCCATTCTCTAACCCCTAGACAATACTCCCTTCCTAGAGCTGGGAAGGGAACCCAGGAGTCCAGGCTCCCAGCCACATCCCTCCAATCAGTGATTAGATGTCTAGCTAGCAAACTGTAGCTCCACGGAGAGGTGGCTGGTCACATGGTGCTGGCTCCTCTTCACATCCAGCTGCTAAGCCCCATTACAAGCTAGACATCTACTGAATGTTTCCCTACTGCCCCCTTTTCCTGTCAGAAGCAGCTCTGGTGAAATGGGATGGGTCTGGGTAGGCCAAGAAATAGGAGGGTGGTTCCCAGGGGACATGCTCTCTGTCCAGGTGTGCGCCATACCATGAGGAGCCCTGGCCTAGTTCCTGCTGCCTCTTTACTCCATCGTGTGTTCCTCCTCTCCTGTTTGATGGCTGAGGTGGCCCCTGGGGATGTGACCCTGCACTGGGACAGCTGACTTCCTGACAGAGCTCCTGTGCTAATTGGCAGCCCTTGGGGTCCGCACTGTCCCCACCGCCCACTGAAATTTAGCAAAATTGCTGCTTTGACCTCATGACTCAACTGGGAGGGTGACCAGCCAGTTGGTGCTGGTGTTGAGCCTGGCCCATGTCATACGCAGGCGAGTGACTGATATGTCGGGAGAACCTGTGACGGGGTCCTACATACCTGGGCATTTTGTGGTCTGTGTGCCCTTTTAGCTTCCCTTTCGTGGCAGGGGGAACCACTGGGCCTGGGTAAAACAGGGAAGAGGAGCCTTGTATTGCCTGGGGAGAAGAGAGCAGTAGGGCTGGTCTCCTTGGGGCCTACCAAGGGGGAGTAGGGCTGAGAGAACCCTCAGTAACCTGGGGCTCCCATTGTCTCTCCGCACAGGGCTTCTGCTCCTGGCTGACAGCCATCTTCAGGATAAAGTAAGTGGCCCTTGAATCCAAGGGTTGGTTCTAGAGCTTAGCCACTGCCAGGGCCCAGAGACCAGTGGGGGCTGTGGAGACCTGGCGCTGTGGGGCCCTAGGGTGGTTGTTTGTTGCTTGTCATAGCATCTGGAAGCCCCACCCGGGCTCAAAGCCCCCTTGCGCTAGGTGCTGTACAAGCATGCAGTAGGAGACAGCCCCCGCCCCACAGGGCTTACAGGCCAGCTAGAAAAGGCAGACAAAGGAAGGACTGTTCTGTTTTACAGCTGAGGAATTGGGACACAAAGAGACTAAGAGTACGTCTATGCAGGCATGGTTCCCATTGCGGCTAGATGGATGCACGAGATCCGCTTGAGCTAGTGCCTAAAAACAGCAGCGTGGCTGCAGCGGCTTGGGCCAGCCGCCCAAGTGCAAGCCCACCTGGCCCCTGGGAATGTACACATGCTGCTAGCCTGCTGCGGCCACACTGCTGTTTTTTACACGCTCGCTGGAGCCGACGTAGTGCACATCTGGAAACTGCGCTGGGGGGTTATGCTTCCCGACAGCTGTCTCGATGGGCCTAAGTGACTTGCCCAGGTTGCCCAGTGAGCCTGTGGCACAGCAGGGAATTCAGCCCAGATCTCCCAGTCCCATTCCGGTGCTAATCACAAACCCTTCCCCTCCACCCCCACAAGCTCCTGCTCGGAGGCGATACCCCCTTTCTTGCTTCGTTCTGGTCACTGCGGTGCCCGTTGCTCTCAAAGCGGGGTCCAGTGCCAGCGAAGGTCAGGAGAACCTACCAGGGCCTCAAGAAGAGGGTGCCCCTGAGCTCTTCTCTGGTGTTTTCCACCCTTAGCTCTTAAAGTCCGTGGGGTCGGCACCATTACCCCCTCTCTGGCAGATAGGGAACCCACGGGGGTTAAAGTGACAGTGGATTGCGTGGGCACAGCTGCCTGGCAGGCTGCCATGAGTGAGCCTCGCATCCCCCTCCCCATCCTGCAGGGGCTGGGAGCACTGGGGTGCAGCAAGTGGATGTTGGCTAGTGGATTTGTGTGCAAGGCCAGACTGCAATGTGCTGAGGTCCCTAACTGGCCGCTCCCTGGGCTAGGACTGAGGGCTCTGCAGCTCCTCTAAGCGATGGTCTCATTAGAACTCCTTTAGCTCTGGTGTTAGGGGCTAGTGCTCCGGGTGCTTAAGGTGCCGAGCGCGACCCATGCGGATGCCCCTGGTGCTGGGCATCGAAGGGCTATTGGGATTTGGCCCCGTGCCCTTATTAGGTGATGCCTCACCGCCTTTGTGTCCTTGCCAGGGACGATGAGATCCGGGATAAGTGCGGGGCCGACGCAGTCCATTATCTCTCCTTCCAGCGGCACATCATAGGGCTGCTGGTGGCCGTGGGCGTGCTCTCCGTGGGCATCGTGCTGCCCGTGAACTTCTCAGGGGACCTGCTAGGTGAGTGGGGGGAGGGGCGGCTCTTGCTGGCCCTGTTGCGTTCCCACCTTTGGAAGGGAATTAGCCAGCCCTGCTCACAGCAGCCTAGCAAGAGTCCTCGCAGGGGGGGGCGGTCAGGACACCGGCTCTCGAGGTGAGGGAGCATCACTTCCTGCCCTGGCCCTGCAGTGGCAGTTGGGAGCGCCTGCTGTCAGGGAGGCTGTTGTGTGGGAAGGGGGTGGCTTCACTCTCGGTGGGGAGGGGGGTTCTGCTGAGCCTCACCCCCTTGCAACTCAGCCAGGAAAACTGGAGCTCAGAAACTTAACCTTTGACCCTTTAGCATTTCCCAGGGATTGCAGGGTGACTCTATTTATTTTCAGAGGCATTGCAGGGATGATTCCCAGAGCAGCCCTGCCCTGCCCCATGTCTCCCCATCCCAGGCACCCAACCACAACCCTCTGGATTGAATTAAAGGTGTCTGTCTATCGCTCTCTCCACAGAGAACAACCCCTACAGCTTTGGGAGAACGACGATCGCTAATCTGAATTCTGGGTATGTCGAGGAGGGGTGGAGCGGGGCCCTTGGAGTGTGTCAGGTGGAGCCACGGGGGGGCTGCCCCAGGAAGGCCCGGGAGGCTGTCCCAGCTCATTCACTCTGCAGAGCCAGCTCCCAGCCGCTGCCTCCAGAACAAAAACCCGGGAGCAGCCTCTGGGATGCCACCACTGAGCCCTGCGCTGGGTAGCAGCCTTTCAGCATGCATGCACCATGCCGGCCAGTTGGACTGTCCCCAGGTGCAGTGCCCTTGGCTGGCAGCCTGGCCCGGAGGGAGCGGGGTAGCCCACGTTGGCTGACTGGCCACGCACAAGATGGGGGTGGGTTCACTGCACCGTCCGGGTGGCCTCAGCTGAGTGGTGTCTCTCTGACAGAAATAACCTGCTGTGGTTGCACACGTCCTTTGCCTTCCTGTACCTGTTGCTGACGGTGTACAGCATGCGTCGGCACACCTCCAAGATGCGCTACAAAGAGGATGACCTGGTAAGGCTGGTGTGGCCTCCCACCAGGGTTCTGTGCTCTTCCAGCCTCCCTCTCTCTGCCGCCCCAGCCATGCCTCCCGTTCATGCTGGGAGTGACTCCCCGTGCAGGGTTCTTGCCCACACCTCACCCCTGATACAACTGTAACAGTCCCAGGGTCTCCAGGGCCCCCACTGGGTGAGTTGAGCTGCAGCAGCGAGTATGCAATCTCCTGTCCCTTCCCACTAGGCACTGCCTCTGCTAGGTACGTTCTAGGTTCCCCCACTGAAAGCCACCTCGCCGCCCATGGTTAATGCTCCCACCCCATCTCTGCTCAAGCAGCTGTTGTATAACCGTCTCGCCAGGACAGAACCTGGACTGGAGCAAATGTTGGCTACGTGTCGGGTTGCCCCCTTGCCAGCCAGTGGGGGATGGGAGACAACCTGGTAAATGTGGAATCCTGGGCACTGCCAGGAAAAAGTGAGCCACTCCCCTGACATTAACCCTGACGTGGCTTCACCCCTTGGCCACAGCCTGGTGTCCTGTGCTGCCCTAGTTTGGGTTCCCATACTGCCCTCCCCTCCCCTGGCCCCTTTGTCTCTTCCAGGTGAAGCGAACTCTGTTCATTAACGGGATCTCAAAATATGCTGAGTCGGAGAAGATCAAGAAGCATTTTGAGTGAGTCTATGCGTGCGTGCTGGGTCCCAGCTTGAGCTACTATTTTTCCTCTGCAGAAAATTTCAACTTTTTGGCAAAAAATGAAAAACTATAAAAATTTAATAAATTTCTTTTAAAAGTATTGTCACCACACTGTTTCATGGGAGTTGTAATTCAAGTGCCTCATGCCTACAGTCTGTTAGGTGGGCTGGACTACATCTTCCATGATGCACCAAGTGCCACAGTGCATCATGAGTGATGTAGTCCCAACAGGGGAGCCTGGTTCGTAGAGGAGACTGTGGGCATAAGGCACCAAAACTACAACTCCCATGAGGCACTATGGGGGCATTTCTGAATTGAGTGGTTTTGGTTTTTAGATGTTTGGGTTTTTGTCAAAAAATTAATATAGAAAGCAGCCCTAGTCCCAGCCCTGAACCCTTCAGTGCCAACTCTGTCCCTGCAGAGATCCCTCTGGGCACAACCAAGCCAAGGGATGTCAGGGGAGACGATGGAGTGGGGGGTGGTGCCCGTGGTACACCCAGACCCTCTCCAACAGTAGAGGACTCTCCCCACCACCACCTGTTTTTAGAAGCCCCACAATGAGACCCTGGTTCTTCTAGGGGCAAAGGACTGAAGAGGAGCCCAAGAGCATTGCTTTACAAGCAGGCACTCTCCTCCCCACCTTGTTCCCCTATAAGAGCAGAGTGCATGGGCGGTTTCCTCCCCCCCTCCCGGCACAGCTTTAGCAGAATTCCCTGATGATTGGGACTAGGCCTGAGAATGGAGTCTGGGTTCCCACCCACCCCCAGCAAGCCCACTGGCTGCTGGAGGATTTGTTCGAGGTGCTGCTTTCCACCTCATCGCTAATGAGCCTGGGGTTGTTTCCTGTCCACAGGGAGGCGTATTCCAACTGCACTGTGCTGGAGGCTCGGCCCTGCTACAATGTGGCCAGGCTGATGTTCCTTGATACAGAGAGGTAAAGTCTGGGGCGGGTATGGATGGCCTAGACCAGGAGTGTTGCAGAGAGCACACGGGATGCATCTGGGGTGAGAGGGTGAGACTCAGCAACAGGAGGGTTACAGAGAACAGGTCACCAAAAAAATGCATGGGGTGGTCTCGGGCTAGTCCTTACCGAGGCCCTGTCTGCACCACTAAACAGCAAAGGAACTGGGGACTATTTGACTCAAGTGATAGGCTCTGCTTGAGGGGCCCAGGGCTG